GGAGAGAAGCCTGGTGGGTTACAGTCCATGGGGTCACAAAGAGTCAGACACGGCCAAGCGACTAAAACCACCACCACCAAGTACAACATGAGAAGAGAAAGTCTTTGAAAAATTTTATAGCAATATGATTTTTACAACTACAGGAGCAGTTATATGTCTGTTAAATCTCACGATACTGCATCTGGGCTTGTATTTTCTATGCCTTTTTTCCCATTTCATTTTCACAAGTATACTGCTCTGCAAAGGAATGGAAGGTAAAGATAAAACTGGTCAAGCACCAGGGTTTGAGGAGTGCTGCCCAAGAGCTCTGGGCAAATGCTTTGCTTTCTGTTACCAGCTCTGTTACAAAGAGGAGACATGCTCTGCTAAACGACATCTCACACTAGCCGTCTGAACTTCACTCATCAGAGCATCTGATGAGCTGCGTTTATTCTAGGTAATGTTTCACAGGTGGTGCAGCAGTAAATAATCTGCCTGCAATGCAGGGGGTGCGGGTTTGATCCCTGGGTCAGGAAGATCCCCTGGAGAAGATAACCCACTCCTGCATTCTTGTCTGGAAAATCCCATGGACAGAGGAGCCTGGCAGATAGCCCATTGGGTCACAAAAAGAGTCAGACACGACTTAGCGACTAAACAACAACAAAATGTTAAGTTACAGGTTCTCAACCTACTTATACAGCATTTTCGTTTAGAGCCAAAGAAAACTGCTCAACATCTGAATCCTAAAAACACAATGTAGTTGCTAAAGTAGTGTGTCCAATTCCTTTATTCAACAAAACCTCATTTGTATAAAACATGTTTCAGCTGCTTTTACAAGTTTAATTTTTCTCCTGCTCATATGCTGAAAAAGAAAATATCTTGATTATCAGTCACTTATAAATGCATTTAAGAATCAGAGATTTTGTTCCTTTACTTTAGAAATCAGTTAGGCATACATGTGTGCTGAGACACTTCAGTAGTGTCCCAACTCTTTGCGACCCTACGGACTATGGCCTGCCAGGCTCCTCTGTCTGTGAGATTCTCCAGGCAAGATCACTGGAGTGGGTTGCCATGCCCTCCTCCAGGGGATCTTCCCAACCCGGGGACCAAACCTGAGCCTCTTATGTCTCCTGCACTGGCAGGTGGGCTCTTTACCATTAGCGCCACCTGTGAAGCCCCATTTAGGCATAAGGAAGTTGCAAAACCATCAATCAAGAAAGTTGATCTGGGGACAAGGCATGTTGGAGAAAGTGACTAAGAAATCAATGCCACACATACCTCATGATGGTCAGATAATGGCAGACAAATACCACTGCTACAGTAATTTCAGACTACTTGACTTTTATCTCATTTCTAAACACTAATCCTGCCATCATTAATGGTTTACCGATCTTTTGTTCCTGCTCTGAGAAATTCTGAAGAAACAAGTGCTGAAAGACAAAGTAGTTAGATTAAGAACATGAATAAAAATCATATCTTCTCATATAAGTGAAAGTTAACTATAAGATAAATTAGATTTATTGGTCCTTTTATTTATAATACCTCCAGTCCTGAAGAAAAGCTACACTTCCTTAAAAAGAAAAATTGTTTAGTCAACGTAGGAATTTGGGGAGCTATTCTCTAAGGATAGAAACTCTGTTCTTGGTCTCCATGAATGAAGTTCATTTTTTACAGATTTATCATCTACTAGTTTCACAATACATTGATTTATAATAATAGCATAACCTGTCTGGAAAAAAATGCTAATTCCTAGGAGATAAAAATCACCAGTTGAATTTTAAAATGTTTTTGACTAAGTTATATATAACTTTAATTTTTTTATCCTAACAGCTCAAAATGCATTGGTCCTGCTGTAATAATGAACAGATATGAATGGTGATTTATAGCATTTCAAGAACTACAGCTGGAAAAAGACCACCTGACCATCAATTTAGAAAGCCATAAATGACATATCATACTAATTATCTTTATTAATGGACTAGTTAATTACACCACTCATGGACACATTTCCTTCAGTGAGAAAAGAGGATAGCATATACCTGCATATTACAAGAATCACTGAAGACAGTTTGAGAAAATACTGAAACTGGAAAAGGAATTTTATAGAAATAAAAAGTTTTATCAGCCTTTTATTTGAGTTAATTATAATTCTTCATAAATGTTATCTCTACTGAGGCTTTAAATATACAAACCAATTTAAACTTCACAAATGCTAGCCCTAATAATGTCAACTCAATTCTAATGTAATTAGAAGACTCAATCCCTGGGGCTCAGTGTTAAAGAATCCGCCTGCAGTACTGGAAACCCAGGTTCAGTCCCTGGGTCAGGAAGACCCCCTGGAGAAGGAAATGGCAACCCACTCCAGTATTCTTGCCTGGAGAATTCCATGGACAGGGGAGCCTGGCAGGCTACAGTCCATGGGGTTGCAAAGAGCCAGACACAACTGAGCAACTGACACTCTTACTTTTTTTCATAATTCAGTCAGAGGAAAGACAGCACACTCACAAAGTACTGGGCAGGCAGGTGGCTCAAATGAGTGAAGCAGGCTTCACAGCAAAGAAGGACCATGATAATCTACCACTACTCAGCTCTAGCCAACTGTTACTTTGAGGAATAAAGACAAAAAAACAGTAACAATAAAATCGACACTCTGCTAATCTGAAGAAGTAAATCCAGGGAGTTTCCTAGTGGCCCTGTGGTTGAAGCCTCATGCTTCCAATGCAGGGGGCCTGGGTTCGATCCCTGGTCAGGGAACTAGATCCCATATGACACAACTCGGGGGAAAAAAAAAGTCCTACATGCTGTAGCTAAAGATCCTGCATGCCACAACTAAGACCTGGTGTAGTCAAACATATAAGTAAGTCTGTAGGCTAGATTTGGTATATGGACTACTACTGCCTCAAGGGACAAAGTGGCTAAGAACTGTTGCAAGTCAGAAAAATCTAGATTGAAAAAAACAGCTCTGATTTTAACACATTTCATAAATTTGTCCAAGTTATATAATTTAAGTCTCAGTCTCCTCATCTGTACCTCACTGTTTTTTTTTTCTAATGAAATTAGGCAATGTATATGCTCAAAAAATTGTAGTTCAATGTTATCATTAGATGCTGAAAGAAATCAAAACAAAAAGGAAACAGATGAGGAGCAGTAGCAATTCAAGTCCCCCTTCTATCTGACTGTGGGGTTTATTTCTCAAACTCATAACGACTAGTCCCAACTATTTTCTCACCCACAGGCTATTTTCTTTACCACCAATGCCTTCTCTTCCCTACTCAAGGCCTACCTCACAGCTCATCTATACCTTTCCTTTTCTTTGAAAGCACTTTCAGGACTGACAGTGAAACTATCTTACTGTCGAACATCAAGGTATACTTAAGAAATCCTGAATGCAGTAGTTTTTCTCCCCCAATCTTTGAGCACTGTGCAAGCTGTGAACTCCTTACAACACCCCAAAGAATCCATCTGCACTTTCACTGAACAATGCTTTCATCTTTCTTCCCTGTTAATGTTCGTTCAAGTGATAATAAAAAACCAAAGAAATTAAAACAAAATGTCAAACCATATTAACAAAAAAATTCATTTCTAAACAAATAGATTTGAAAACAACTTCAAAAACCTATCCAATGTTCTCCTTTAAAAGGAAGTTTGAGTTAAGAACAATCCAGTTTTTTTCCTTATTTCATTCTAATTACAGGTATCCAAAAAAAAACCACAAAACCCCACAAAAAACCTTTTACCAAAAAACTATGCCTGATTTTCTCAAAAAGAAATTATATTGATTTCAACTCATATGAACAAACAATATTCTTCATGTATATTTTGACAGCCATCCAGAACCTTGATTCTTAGAAACTTCTGGGTATCAAAATAACATTACGGTGTCTTTCCAGGAAAATGTAGAGTCCCAAATTTTGGTATGCAATTTCAGGAAGTTCAGAGTATCCAAGGATCTTCAGTGGATCCACCACTCCCCGCCCCATCCCTCTCCCTTAAGAACTTGTGCTAAATAAGTGGTTTGTTTCTATTATTAAATGTTTTGCATCTTCTGAAAATAGTCATCCTTAAGAAGACCTTTAGCTCTGCTATTAAATGGGGAAGCAGCTTCCTAGCTGCCATCCTGACAGCTGATAGAAAACAGAAAATTGAGCGCTTACCTCCGAAAAATTAACAGCCAAAGGAATGATTCCAGCCACGTAACATCCCACCAACATAGCCAGAGACAGCAGGCTAATGGAGATGAAATCATCCATTCTGCCTTCTTTATTCATCCAATACCACTAGTCTATAATTTTTCGGGAGCTCAGGTCCTTAAACACGTGTAATTGTTCCAAAAGAACAGGTGTACTTTCCAGTTCTTTCGTCCTCCCCACCGGCAGATGCGTTCACGAGACACTTCTCTCTTGAACGTACCTGTAAAGAACCCCCTTTTTGCTGATACTAGAAACAACTTTCAGCAATCTTGGGTCCCAGCCCGTAAGTTTTCATATACCAGTCACTGGATTCCCATGGGTTAACAGAGATGAGAAGTCAACGGGAAACTATACGAAGGAGCTATTGGTTCAATCGTCGGAATACGGGCAGTACAATGGGCCTACTTCCTCCACAAGCAATGTTCCCGATGGCAGCTAGAAAAGGACGAAAACCCAAGCGAACTTGTACGTTCTCCCTGCTCCCCTATCTCCCTGGGGCACCCCCGCAGGTGATCGCCACCCCCCCAGCTCCGGGACCAGCCCACCAATCACGGCAAACTCTCCTCCGAGTCTAGAGTGAGGAAAGGAGTCCTGCAGGCCGGTAATGGCGGGTCGTGGGGTTCAGCAATGAAGCTGATACAAAGCTGTCTCTACCCTATACCCAGTGCTGCCCATGTTGCTCCACTCCGAGGGGCCTTGACCCGGAGCCACCGATACTACAGCTGCCATGGCCGCCAAGTGGCACCTCTTCATTACATCCACTTCCGGATTGCCTTACAGCCCCCTCCTTTAGAAGGGTACTTCCGGGGTTACAACCGACCTATGCCCCAGGGTTCTTATACTGCCGCCATTTTTGAGTGGGGCCACTGAAAGATGGCTTGTGTCACTGTCTATACCGGTGATCACTTTAGCCGCGCGTCTAATAACCCGAGTACCGAAGATCGTGTCTCGAAAAAAGTGCTCCTTTTTCAAGTTCCGATATGTTCCCTATGTGCTTCCTTTCCCTTATCCAAGATGGCTGAAACAGAGTCACTCTCTGCTCTAGCTGCCGGAAATCTGTGAGCCTCTATGGTCCGAAAGGTTCTTTCGCGGTGCGCCTCTGACGATTTCCGGCTGCTCCTCTCGCGGGGATTGGCTGTTGGCGGCGTTGCGGGTAAGCTCGTGTGCGGCGGCGGAGTCGGCATCGGCTGCAGCGGGAGACTTTGGCGCGATGGTGAGAAAGGCCTAACCGGCTTCCCGAACCCCCAACCCCCCCGGGGCGACCCCCGCCCATACATCTCCCCACCCCATCCAGCGCTAGAGTGCTGCCGCTCAACACTCCAGCTTGTGAGTCGACCCTTCTCTTTCCCGCCGCGGAGACACTGGGCCTGGCGCTAGGCCCCGGATCCCGGGTCCGCCCCGCGGTTGCGCTCCCGCCTGCTGGCTCGGGCGAGGCGTGCGTTGCGGAGGTTGCTCTTTCTTCCGATTGCTGCTTGGTAGAGGCAGGCGTGGGGGTGCTTCCCTTTCCTTCCAAACGCCCCAGCCTACTATAGGAACAATGGCCGAGGGATGTCTGACAATCCCGTCTCGAAGCTGACAGATTGAATATTGCATCCCCCGTGTGGGCCGGGAGGGAACATCTTTGCTTTGTAGCGTGCTTTTCCGACCATATTCCCTTTTGTTTTTCTGGGCTCTGCCTTTTTTGAAAAAATACATTTTCCCTCGTTTCTAAGACCTGTAGGGGCCGATTTGGTGTTTGTTTGTTTTTTTACCCCCTCCAGCCACCCAACCTGTGCTTACCTTTATTTATAGTCTCTTGGGTCTGGAAGTTGAAAAGATAGATTCAGCTCAGGGTCCACTTTACTTAGAATCTAAGTAGAATGGGTGGGAAGGGTTGTTTTTGGCTTGTGTGTCTGGTGTTTTGTAATCTGCAAAAAGGAGATGCTCACGAGGATTCCAAGGAATCGTGGTTGCTTCCACACTTCAATTTTCGTCTTCTGGTTGCTGCAGATTAACAGATCATGCAGCTATTGTTAACAAGGAACTTTTTCAGGTTGTAGTTTTCTGGATTGAGATAGGCCAGTGTTTGACCCAACATAGTCTCCCAAGGAGGACTGGGAATTAGGAGATTGGGTTTCCAGTTCCTGTCTTAACTAGCAGTGTGACCTTGAGCAAGTCATTTCACTTCGGAGTTTCCTTCTTTCTCTGCCTTTATTTGGTATTATTTTTAAATGCTTAGATTAAAATCTGGGGATATGACAGCAGTTAATATGAACACCCTATTATCATTGAACAATTATCAGTGATAATTCTTTATCATATCGTGTAGAATGGAAAATTGGAATTTGTATTTAAAGTGAATACTGGTTCAAAAGTCTTAAATATTGGTTCAATTTCTTTTTTTTTTTATTCTTCCTTCCTTTTTTGGTAGTTTGAGAGATGCATTTAAAACTCAAGAACCAATTGTATGTATTGCAGCATTTCTGTAACAGTAGAATGACTACTGTTAGGGTTCATGTTTGTGAGACTTTAAAAACAGATTAACAGATTAACTCTTCATTAGAGTGAATCAACTGCTTAGTAAACAGAGAATAGGATATTATTAAGGTAATTCTGCATAACTTTTCTTGATTTAGGTTTCACAGTGTTACTTTTCTATTGTGGCAAATATCAATAGATATATATATTCCTGTATGTATTTATATTTTTATTTACTACTGGTCATTCCCCTAAGAAAGAGTAACCTAAGGAATGCTGGACCAAATCTGTTTAGAAGGGAAAATCTGATAATTTTGTTTACAGTTTTGTAAATTTAGTCATTCCTTGTTCCTAATTTTTAAGCCTTGTCTTTGGGCAGTAAGAAAAATAGTAAACTTTGTTCAGGTTCACTTTAAGGGTAAATATAAAAAGCAGCATACTGTATAGCCATTTTCATATCTTTACTCTTAAGTGAATTGGTCCTTATTAGAATAAGAAGAAAATTAATATAGTAGCAACTGGTCTGGCTAGTATGTGGGACAGGTCCTCTTACAGGAATGTTAGTACAGTTTCTATAAAGTCATTTTTCTTCTCACCATATGAGCTATTGAAACTATTGGTGGTTTTTAAATAACCAGTAATCTAACATTCTGTTTTCTCTGACTTTTGATCACTATTTAAGAAAGGCCTTGGCTGTGTTCAGGTCTTTATAGGTCAGAATTACTTTTCATCTCTTGTCATCAAGTTCTATCTCAGATCCTCTCAAACTTTTAATCAGAATGACTCACTTCTTGATGGAGAGGGAGGAGTATGATAAATTCCTTTGTTTTTCACATTGTGTTCAAAGTACTGTTTGGGCGGGGGCAGTGCTTATTCAGAAACTCTCAATATCAGCTATTTCAGTTGCAGTTTGTTGGTCATTAAAAAGTCTGATCATTTCAGAACATTTAGTTCCTGTCCTTAAGAGGTTTGTTTGTTTTTTATTAAAAACTAGTACAGCAAAAAAAAAAAAAACTAGTACAGCAGAAGAGAAGAATATGTTGTTCAGTCACTCATTCATGTCCAACTCTTTGTAACGCTAGGCTTCCCTGTTCTTCACCATCTCCCGAAGATTATAAATAGTTTGATTTAGCATTGGGTTTACAGTGAGGTTACATCATATTTGAATTTAATTAGTGAACCTTACACACTTGGCAAAAAAAACCGGAAGGGGTTATACTTTCAACAGACCGATGTTCTGGAGATATTTTTAGTTGTCACACGTTGGGAGGAGGGCATGGGAGTGCAGGTGCTACTAGTATTTACTGGGAATAGGCTAGGAATGCTGCGATCCTTCAGTGCACAGGACAACCTCTGCAACAAGGAATCTTCCAGCCCCTGATGCAATAGTGCCAGAGTTGAGAAACCCTGAAATAGACCCACGAACAAAAGCATGCTCCCCAATGAGGGTGAGATGGAAGAAAGGATCTGCTGATCTTTAGGCATAGTCACATTTCCTGTGTCATATCCTCTAGCTATTTTGTGATTCTCGTTCTTAAAAATACAATATTTTAGTTTAACACAGCACCTTATGGTGTGTCACCTACTGGGTGAATAATTTAATGGATTTTTCTAGGGTAACGTTAACTATATATACTAATTTTATATTACCAGTTTATCTTACACCTTTAATGTTTGAGTCTAATCTCTGGATAAGATGTGATTTCACTGTAGTGCTAAAGTTAGAAAAAACATAGATTGATAAAGTGCTTGTAATCATTACAGTGTTTTCCTTTTTTCTCCTTTCATCAACCAATATCTGTTTTCATTAGGAACCTAATGGGATTAGAGTGACCAATGGAGATAGAACACCTAAGCAGGTTTACAATCTGGCTGGGAAGAAAGATGCAAAAGAGAAAAAACAGTACAGGGTAGTTTATGCTGAGAATTTACAGGCAGTAAATGCAATAAGAGTTTGAGACAGCAGTTGTTAAGAACTGGGAGATTAAGAGACCTTACAGAGAAGTTGTGAATCCAGCTTCTGGTGCTGCACTTGGGCAGAGGCATCAATATTGCAGAAAGACCCCCCCTAATTAATAGTGTTTTAATAACCAACGATAATTTGTGTGGTGAATGGAGATTTTATCCCATACTATGAATTTCTCAAGTACTGAGTTAGAAACTTACATTGAAATCACTTTTCCCTCTGCAGTCTCACACCATCTTGCTGGTACAGCCTACCAAGAGGCCAGAAGGCAGAACTTACGCTGACTATGAATCTGTGAATGAGTGTATGGAAGGTGAGTTTAAACACTAATCAAGGGGTAGAAATCATTGACTTTGTTTTGGGGGTGGTGAGGGGTTGGGGGCTGGAGGTGGGATGGGCTATAGAGTCTCCTGGCTCCCACTCTAGCTAGCATCCACACCAGCTGGTCTACGCTTGCTCCCAGGGTGAGAGTGGTAAGTGCTAAGACTCTCAGTTGTCTTTAGTTTGTTTACCCTGACATTCACTGTTATTTCTACTTTTTAGAATCAAGCTCATATGTATAGTGACTTTCCCAGGCCTCTGCTTGTTTTGTAAATATTTTACAGGTATTCCTTATATAGTCTAGTTAAACTCGATAGAGTTATTAAGACAGGCTTGAGAAACCTAATAGTGCCTACACAACCTAATAGTCTAATTACTAAACAAACATTAAAAGCTAAGGTTACAGTCCATCAGAATGTTAAGAAATAAAAAATTAGCTCAGTGAATAAAGGCAAATGGAACCAAATCAGTATAATTTATTGTACATTTGATAAGCTGGCACCACCCTGAAGGGAGGTATTAACCCCCAGTAAACCATTAGATGAGAGCACATAGATTGGATCATCACAAACTGGATTCATCCTTATGTCCTTTCATTACATCATTAGATCATCCAGTAAACCAATTGTGTACACCCTGCACCCTTTCTAGCAAATTGCACATTCTTCACCTCTTACTGTAAAGATTTTATAGGAATATAAAATTTGCTGCTGGCTGTCCCTGGAATTGCCAATTATCTGAAGCTAATTGGATTAGGCTTAAAAATCTCTTCTTAAAACTAATGGTGGGTAGACCTCTGGCGGGACAAAAAGCTACTCATAGTATCAGAGATGGCTCCTCAGATTCTATTCTAGTTTTTAAAGATGAGCAAAGCTTGTGTTCTCTTCTTTTCTCAAGTCCCTTCCTCTGCTGATAGACTTACTTGCCATTAAGGTAGACTTTGTGCACACACTCTAGATTGTTGCTTTATCTATATTACCATGTTTGGTCTTTGATTCTGCAATACTCTTTACTAACCTTTGCTGATTTTAGGGAAGCCTGATGCTGGGAGGGATTGGGGGCAGGAGGAGAAGGGGACGACAGAGGATGAGATGGCTGGATGGCATCACCAACTCGATGGGCATGAGTTTGAGTACACTCTGGGAGTTTGTGATGGACAGGGAGGCCTGGCATGCTGCGATTCATGGGATCGCAAAGAGTCGGACACGACTAAGCGACTAAACTGAACTAAGCTGAACTTAAAAAAAAAAAAAGAATACATTTAATTTCTAGAGCAGTTTTAGGCTTAAAGAACAATTGAATAAAAAGTACAGAGGGTTCCCATGTACTTCTCCCTATCCCCAGTTTCCCCTGTTAATGACACCTTTCCAGGTAGTCCAGTGGTTAATACTGCTTCCAATGCAGGGGACTCAGGTTCTCCTGGTCAGGGAACCTGCATGCCACACACCCCCTCCCCCCCCAAAAAAAAATAGAATATGAGGTATGGTACATTGTTACAGTTGAAGCAGAATACAGTCAATAGTTTATTTTGGGATTTATTCCTTGTGTTGTGCAGTGCTATGGGTGTTGCCTAATGTGTAATGTCATGTATTCACCATTACAGTATCATACTGTAATGTTGAGAATATTCTTACTACCCTAAAAATCCTCCGTGTTCCCCCTAGTCATCCCTCTTCACCTCACTCCCTGCCTCCCTGGCAACCACTGGTCTCTTTGCCACCTCCATTGTTTTGCTTTTTCCAGAATGTCATAGATTTGGAATCATTGACATATAGCTCTTTCAGACTAGCGTCTTTCACTTAGCAATGTGTTTAACTTTCTTCCATGCCTTTTTGTGGCTTTCTAGCTCTTTTTTTCTTTTTAAATTAGAAATGGTGGTTTATTTTCCATTTTAAAAGTTAAAATGGAATTATTGGAATCAGTTCTCACATGGTGGTTGTCAAATGGTAATTTTCTTACTCTCTTATTTTTCTTTGTTATAGTAGTTAATACTCATCTGGAATACAGAGCTTTCCCTCCCCTCATCCCTTTTTTAAAATTAATAGATTTAGGTTTTTTTAGAGTAGTTTTGGGTTTACAGGAAAATTGATTAGGAAATACAGTTCTGTCATAACCCCTGCTTCGCCCCCTCCCAGTTTTCCCGATTATTTACATCCTGTGTCAGTGTGGTACGTTTGTTAGAATTGTAGAGTCAGTACTGATACATTATTGACTGAAGTCTTGTTTGCATTACTGTTCACTCTTTGCTTTGAACATTCTGTGGACTTTGACATGTGCAAAGACATGTATCTAACATTTAGTACCCTGAAAATCCCCGGTGCTTCACCTGCTCACCCATCTCTCCCCTAAACATCAACCACTGATCTTTTTGGTGTCTTCATAGTTTCCTCTTTTCCAGAATATTGTGTTGTTGAAATTATAGTATGTAGCCTTTTCAGATCAGCTCTTTCACTTCAGTTCATTTCAGTTGCTCAGTCGTGTTTGACTCTGCGACCCCATGGACTACAGCACACCAGGCCTCCCTGTCCATCACCAACTCCCGGAGCCTATTCAAACTCATGTCCATTGCGTTGATGATGCCACCCAGCCATCTTGTCCTCTGTCATCTGCTTTTAAGATGTCTCCATGTCTTTCACGGCCTGATAGCTCATTTCATTTTGTTGTTGAATAATACTCCATTGTATGTGTATAACACAGTCTGGTTATCCATCACCTGTTGAAGGATATCTTGTTTGCTTACGGGTTTTGTCAGTAAATAAGCTGCCATGTACATTCCTGTGTAAGTTTTTGTGTGGACCTAAGCTTTCAGCTCCTTTCAGTAAATACTGAGGAGTGTGATTGTCAGATCATATGGTAAGACTGTATTTAGCTTTGTAAGAAGCAGACAAGCTATCTTCACATGTGGCTGTATCCCTTTGCATTCCCTGCAGTTCCTGTGGCAGCATTTGGTGGTGTCAGTGTTTCGGAGTTTTTTGCCATCCTAGTAGATGTGTAGTGATACCTCATTTCAGTTAGCAGTTTCCTCATGTTGTGATGTTGAACATCTTTTCATAATGCATATTTTCCTTCTGTATATCTTCTCTGGTGAGGTGTCTGTTCCCATCTTTTGCCTATTTTTTTTTTTTTTTACTATGCATATTAATAAATATTCTTTATTTTAAATTTTGCACATTGCGCTTTAACATTACATCCAAACATTTCGCAAGTGGATGTCTACTTTGTAAAACCATATATTCAACTCATTGTCATTTCTGTACAAAAGTATAAGTACAACATTACTTTTTGCCACTAAGTTGCTTTTTAGTAAGTCTCACAGGAAGAGAAACATTTAATGAAAAGAGATGGCTTAAATCATATGGCAGGCCTGCGCAGCCACACAACTAAAGACACAAGCCTGAAGAAAGAACAAACTAATGAGGTTACCTCCACCGTCTCCCAAAACAAGAAAGAATCACATTGATTTAAGATAAAATTTTGCCATAAGTCACTAAAATAAAAATATGGAATGCTTCACGAATTTGCGTGTCATCCTTGCGCAGGGGCCATGCTAATCTTCTCTGTATCGTTTCAATTTTAGTATATGTGCTGCCGAAGCGAGCTGCCTATTTTTTAATTGAGTTGTTTGCTTTCCCATCGTTGAGTTTTAGGAGTTCTTTGTATATTTCTGATAATAGTTCTTTATCTCAGTGGTCCCCAACCATTTTGGTACCAGGGACCAGTTTCGTGGAAGACAGTTTTTCCACAGACCGTGGAGGATTGGTGTGTGTGTGTGGTTTTGGGATGATTTGAGAACATTGCATTTATTGTGCACTTTATTTCTATTATTATTATTATTATATCCGCTCCACCTCAAATCATGAGGCATTCGACCCCAGAGGTTGGGGACCCCTGTTTTATCAGATACATATTTTGCAAAGATTTTCTTCTGGTCTGTGGCTTGTGTTTTCACTTTCTTTGATAGTGTCCTCTGAAGTACAAAAGGGTTAAATTTTGATGAAGTCCAGCCTGTCTAAGAAGCTTAATCCAAAGTCACAAAGATTTGTGCCTATATTTTCTTCCAAGAGTTTTATAATTTTGACTTAGATTTAACTTTCTGGGCCATTGTGAGTGACTGTTTATACATGGTGTGAGAGGGGTCCAAGTTTCTTCTTTTGCGTATCAGTGTACAGTTGTCCTAGCACCCTTTGTTGATAAAATACTCTTTCTCTGTTGATTTGTCTTGTTATCCTTTTGGAAAAACAGTTGACCATAAATGTGAGGGTTTATTTGTGGACTCCTGTTTCTGTTCCATTACTCTTAAGTCACCCAGTCCGTGAACTTGAGATAGCATTCTGTTTATTTAAATCTTTACTATCAGTGACATTTTAGTTTTCAGTGTATCTTATGTCTCTTTTATTGAATTTATTTGTAAGAATTCTATTCTTCTTTGATGTTCATTTCATTTTCAGTATTTTTATTGTTGAGGTATAGAAATATAATAGATTTTTGTATATTGATTTTACATCATGCAGTCTTACCACCCTGATTTATTAGTTCTAATAGTTTGTGTTTTGTAGTTTCCTTAAGGTATTCTGTATACAATTCTGTATACACTTATAGAGATAGGTACACTTCTTCCATTCCAGTGTGAATGCCAATTATTTCTTTTCCTTGCCAAATCACCCTTACTAGAGCCTCCAGTGCAGTGTTACATGATACAAGTGACAAGAGCAGGTATTCTAGTCTGAATGGGAAAGCATTGTCCTTTGCCACTAAGTGTGATGGTAGCTGTGGGTTAGTGTCACAATGAATTGATATTTCTGGTTTTTATTTCCTTTCCATTCACCCTTTCTATTCAGGAACTCATAAGTGATACTTCTGATCACAGTGTGTTGAACCAAGCTTTAAGATAGCTTTTGATAACTCTGTGCTTGACTGTTACTTTTTATTAGGAAATTTATGAAATCAATTTGGAGGTACACTAAGACCTATATGTACAGGGTAGGACAAAATATTGTGATATAAGCACATAACACTACTCATATCTAAAGTTCACACAATTGTAAGATCTTGGTTTTCCCCTCTCTTAGGTGTTTGTAAAATGTATGAAGAACATCTGAAGAGAATGAATCCCAACAGCCCCTCTATCACATATGATATCAGTCAGTTGTTTGATTTTATTGATGACCTGGCAGACCTCAGCTGCCTTGTGTAAGTATTAGCCACCGTATCTCTTAAACTGTGTTTTTATCTTGTTTGTTTGTTTGAGGTGATTTATGCTATTAGGAGCTCACTCTGCATGACACAGATCTTTGTGTTTTGCTTGTGATGTAGTAATTAATATTTCTTCTACACGTGGCTCATACATTGTCAACATAAAGCTGAAGGCACAAGAAAATCTTACGAATTTTGCTAATTGACGCTGTTAGTGTGCATACACCTTGAACCGAGAACTTTGTTCCTTAAATCTTTTACTTAGTTTTTTCCCCAATTACAGTCTTTATCCTAAAGCAGTTAGCTTTAAATTAAAACTAAGATTATTCTGTTTTCATGATTTTTTTTTTAAATATATGTAGGACTGAAATAGAATTTAATTTTAATTCCACCTAATGTTGATCATGTGTATTTTGGTATGTTAGAATGAGTTTGTTTGTTTTTTTGACACTTTTCTATTCTCTGAGTTTTGTCAAATGAAATTTTTTCCCCTAACATTATGCTTATTTTAAGTTATATTAGTAATTACTTATCACCACTGTTACCAAGGAGCGTGTGAACCTATAACACTTCATCTTCTCAGCATTGTCGGAGAGACTGAGTGTTAAGTACAGAGAATCTTACAGAGGAAAATGGAAGTACCTTATAATGAGAGCTTCAGTCACCGGGCATATTTTTTATGTATCAGACACTATCCTAGAAGAAAAAAATATTTTTCAGTCATGAAAAACATGTAGGTCCTTCTCTGAGGCACTTCCTGTTTCAGCACTGGAACCAAGTCTGGACTTGCTGTCTCACAAAAGATCCGGGTGAAAATAAGCATTTCCTTGAAATTTTTGAGTTCAGTTTTCTTCACCTCTTCATTGTGTTTCAGTTATAGTCATTTTGCTCTGCTTACTCCGAGTATTTAAGTGATCCAGTTCTGGTCTTTAATGAAATGTGTTTATAATGTGTGATAATTTTATTATGATTATTTTGATATAAAAACTCAAAAAACTATTGAAGCCAATAGAGGTGTATATATATCATGCTGTATTAGTTTATAATGTTTATAGTTGATGTGTTTATTGCCTGACACACAGAAAGAGACATACATGTTCATATAATATATTTATTGAGTGCCAGTTATGTACCATATGTGTTCCAAGGCACTGAGGATTGCACAGTGAATAAATCAATGTAAAATGAAGCCTTCACTCTTCTGTGAAGCTGCAGAAGAGTAAGTGGAGGGTGTGGAGAGTAGAGGGAGATGAATTTGGTGGACCAGCCCATTCAAAAGTATTGATACTTCATATTTTTGGTAGATCAAATGAATGAGGACTGAGAATTGAAATTTGGTATAGCCCTGTGGAAGTCTTTGATGATTTCCAGAGCAGTTTTGATAGAGTGAAGTGAAAGTATTAGTTGCTCAGTAGTGTCCAACTCTTTGTAAGCCCATGGCCTGTAGCCCACCAGACTACATAGAATTCTCCAGGCAAGAGTACTGGAGTGGATTGCCATTCCCTTCTCCAGAGGCTCTTTCCGACCCAGGAATTGAACCCAGGTCTCTCTCATTACAGGCAGATTCTTTACTCTCTGAGCCACCTAGGAAGCCCTAGAGTAAAATCTTTATATATTCCGGTGAGTTAGTAAGAAGAGAGGAATTGTAGACTGCCAACACAGACGAATTTTGTAGAATTTGACTCAAAAGGAGAGGAGGGAAATGGGATTATAGCTAGAGGAAAAAATACTTTTTTCCCCTTGAATTTTGTTTTTAAGGTGAGAAAAATAATGATATATTGGCAGGCTAATGTGATGATGTAGTAGAGGGAGAAATTGATGGCTTTAGATAGGATCTTGGACAATCCATTAATAGTCAAGTAGGAAACATGCAGGCCGATGTGATAGACGCTTGGGGAGGTTTTCTAATTGCTTTAGTTACTTCAGGAAAATAGAAAGGAAGACACCATTTGGAATTAAGGGTGAGGGAGGAAGTGTTGGAGGTTGTGAAAAAGAAATGAGAAATCTAGGAGGGTGAAGGGATTAGGGAATGTGATTTAAGAGGTACTTGATAGTGAATATAAAATTAAGAGAGTCATGTAATTGTATTTTCTAGTCACTCTTAATTTGAAGAGTTAAGGGTGAGTTTACTTTTTAGATTATTTCTCACTGTAACAACAGGACATTAGTAAAAAACCAAATGTTCTGTAAAAGTAGAGAGCTTGTGCATTTTACTAAACCCCATTCTGACCTTACCATTCAGGGGAAGAATTTGATAATGGTGTAAAGCATTCCTACTTTGGAGTTTGTTTCTCTTCAAAGATTGGATTGTAGCTCAGTGATGACCTGGAGGAGTGGGTGAGAGGGAAGGGATTTATATATACATATAGTGGACTCACTTTGTTGTGCAGCAGAAACTAACACAGCGTTGAAAGCAGTTAAACTCCACCCTCCCCCCCCCCAAAAAAAAAATGGATCATAGGTTTCTAGCTCAGTGGTTCACAGACAATAAGAACTCTGGTCAGGAGTGTTTAAGCTTTTACTCCTTGCCTGAAGTCACTTAGCCAATAAGTTGCCTGCACTGTTTTGAGCCTTGGTTTCCCCCTTTATTAAAAAGGGATAATAATTGTATCTACTCACAGAGTTGTAAATAGGATTGAGTTGATTCAGATAAGTGCCCAGAGCAATAACCTAGCAGTTGGCAATTCTTTATAGGCTTCTCTGGTAGCTCAGATGGTAAAGAATCTGCCTGCAGTGCTGGCGATTCAGGTTTGATTCCTTAAAGAAGGCAATGGCTACCCACTTCAGAACTCTTGCCTGGAGAATCCCATGGACAGAGGAGCTTGGTGGGCTACAGTCCATGGGGTCGCAAAGAGTCAGACATGACTGAGCGACTAACACTTCTAACACTTAGAGATATTTACTGTCATTTGTAGTTATATGTATATAATTTTTTTTGCTGAGAACCTAAAAAATGATAGTGCTCATGGCCTTGAAACACTGTGATGTACTTTGTGTTTCTGCGATCTCTGCTTGTTTATTATATTCTTTTTTTATACTATAGCTTTAGTTTTTTTACTCTAAAAAATGAATTTATTGCTTAACCAGCAATTTAGCTGGTTGTAGTTGTTCAGTTGTAGGTCAGTGGAATATTTCTATTTTTTGTCCTCTAAACATACCTTGAGTGAGTTGTCTATTAGGTGATGCATTGTACCCCAAAAACCCTGGAATCCTGTTAGTTTCATTGCTGATATTACTCCTTGTACTCCAAGCTCTTCTCAGCCTCTAGCATTGTTCATTAAAAAGAAAATCCTAAAAAAAAATAAATAAAATAAAAATAAATAAAAAGAAAATCCTGAAATACTGGAAGTATAAAAAATATTCCTTCTGTTAATACTTTCCAGAGAAGAAATCTTTGTGGCAGCAACATATTTTTAAAGGTTTTCTTTTTTTTTTAAGTTGATTCAAAGTAAATATAGTAAATCTGAAGTTTTGTTTTTTAATCACTGAAGGAACCATAAGAATAGTTAACTACGTAGGAGAAAGAACACATGGTTTCTGGGCAGACTTCGCCAAGAAGTAGCTGTGTAACGCAGTGAGCATTTACCTTAAGATCTCTAGACCTCGGTTTCTTTTTCTGCTGTGAGATTGTGCTAGATGATCTAAACTTCATATAGCATAAAATTCAACAGTTATGTAATCTGCTGTTTTACGTTTTCATTATATTCATGTATGAACATGTGCACATCTGTGCCGTTCTAGAACAGTTAACAATTTCCAGTTTTAAAAACACGACGGTATTTGACCATTGTAACTTTGCTTATTATTCTTCTGTTCCTCAGTTACCGAGCTGATACCCAGACATACCAGCCTTATAACAAAGATTGGATTAAAGAGAAGATCTACGTGCTCCTTCGTCGACAGGCCCAACAGGCTGGGAAATAGTGGAGTTTGGAAGCATTAGGGGAACAGGGGTGGGCTTGGAACACAGATTTGTGCAGTGTGCTGTAGTGGAAGTTTTGTATTATAGTTATCCTGTTTCCATTTTGGTATACCGTAGCCAGAATTGAATGTATTAGATAAAATGTGATGATCTTGTCCAATCTGAAAACCCTTTGCCCTCCTCCCCCCCTTTTTTTTTACTTAAACATTTTTATGATGATTTAGATGGAAGTTGGTTTTTGTCAGTTAACGTTGGTTCCAGTCCCTCAAACTGTTCATACCTGCTTTATAACATCCACTGTACTAATCTTCCTTCAAATTGGGGTGGGGAGTGGAGGCGCAGTTTAGTTACGTCCTCAAGATAAAGTCTTGGTGAAAAACAAATAAATGTTCTTTAGTTATATTTTTCCCCCTGAGTGATTTTTTTTCCCACTTTTTTTGTGTCTCTGATCTGAATTGGGTGTTCTTGCAAAGCATTATCAGTTTCTAAACCAATAGGCTGCTACACGATGAAGTTGAAGAAAGCCTATACATGTGCTGAATTTGTTTTCCTGTGGCTTATATGAAGCTAAAGAGTTTTTACCTCATTTCTCCTAGTTTTTCCCTCTTGTAAGTGAATCTCAATTGTATCTCCAAGGTTTCCACGTACTGATGCAAACATGATGAAACACTTTCTGGTGACATAGTTTATCTACAGCAGCAACCAGGTTAATTCCTTAGCCTTGCTGATGTCCTTTTTCTGGGAGGTCCTTTTGCCTTCTAATACCCTTCAGCAGTGGAATGCTAATACCGCTCCTGTACAAGGGTAAGGGAAGGACCACAGAAAAGTACAGAATGATCTTGCTTTTAATGTAAAGATTATGGTCATACTGTGACTTGAACGTACACTGCATTCCCATCATACCTCCAGTCAAAGTATGTGGACATTCCCTGATTCTGCTAATATCACACTTCACCAATGATGAATAATATCTTTACACACTGTAAGATAGACAGTTTTTTGGAGGCTTCATGACTGGCCTTATATGCTTATTTTATGCAAATGAAATTATATATGTAGCTGTAGTTAATATTTCACTGTGAATCAGCCAATTTTTAAAAATGTTCTCACAGAAAAAGAAAGAGATCCAAAAGTAAGTCAGATTGTCCTACTTTTCAGTTGTCCTGTCTAATATAGTTTTATTTCTCTAACAGATATGATCTTGGCTTCATTTCTTTTTTTTCTTTTTTTGAAAAATACTCTAGAACACATCTGGAGGGAATGGGATCCCTTGAGTCTCTGATAAAATATGTTTTTTAGTGTTGGACTTACAGAGGAAATAAGATTTTCTAAGGAATGTGAAAGAAAACATCTAGGTCCTAGATGTTGGGTGATGAGGAAAAAGAAGGTGAGCAGTATTTTGAATCATACTTTATAAAGCTTAAGGAAGAATTTCCATTACTACACAAAAGAGGAGCAGAAGTAGGCTTTTTGCATTGTTAAGGTGGAATCTGTGATGAAACTTCTCAGTGGTTTGGTGGAGCTGTAGCCCCTGTTCCATGTTCTTACAGAGTTAGAGTACTGACTGTGTGGCCTTTCTCTTAACTACAAGTCGAACAGGTTTGATTTCTGCTTATAGAGTGATGTTTTATACTGCTGCCCAAAGGGTGAAGCATACCAGGAAGCATACCAGGAAGATCCTGATATTCTGTAATCCACCTTATTTTATATACCTGGAAATTTCTAAAATAGTTCTTGACAGTGCTGCTTGCTTCTGTTTTTTTAATATTTGATCTAACACGTCCCAGGATTAGAAAGGGGGATATTTTAACTGTCTCACTCAACTTGTATTTCTCTGGCTTAAAATATTTCCAGCAACTCACTAAAATGCCTTGGGTATTTTTGGCATATACAAATATATATATGACATGTTTGGTTAGATTATATATCTTATTGCTGTTGTTTGGGGTAAGAATGATGGTAAACTGTTTACTTTCAACAGGGGTGAGCAGACAGTTTCATACTGTCCTAAAAGCAGACCAGTCTTTGGGTTGGAGGAAAGAGGGCAGGACATTTCTTAGTGTGAAATCAGTTTCATATCAGTATGACCACTTCTTTATCAAATTGTTTTTATTAATTTTTAAGATTGGATGAAAATCAGAGTTAATTATGAAGTATTTAATAAACATTACTACATTAATAGGGATACTTTTAGAATAGGGACTTTTTATTTATGTGTTAGTATGTCCACCACTTATGCATAGCATTTACTGCTTGGGAAACATTTTTATATTTAACCTATTTAATCATTATAGCAACCCTTTGATATAAGAAATAATTATCCCTTTATTACTGGTTAAAAAAAAATAGGTTCACATTGACTCAAATCACTTTGCTAGGTGAAAGACATGGTCTTGGGAGTTCCCTGGTGACCCGAGTGGTTAGGACTCGATGTTTTTGCTGTGGAAGCCCAGGTTCCATCCCTGGTCCTGGAACCATCCCACATGCTGTGCAGCACAACCTAAATTAATTAATTGAAAACAAAAAGACATGGTGGTAACCTCAAAGATTTTTGAAGGAAATATGAGCCCCCCCCCCCAAATAAATAACTGAACTAGATAATGAATCTCTGGTGACTATCAAAGGAACTTTAAAGATAGAAATATTTGGATTCACAAGACCTGAGTAGGTCATATTTGTCACCAGTTTACTTGAAAGCTTATAGAACAGAAAACAGCTTGCTAACGCAGCATCATCAAGTGTTCCTCTTCCACAGGAGTGAGTAGTCCTCATGGCAGTTCACACAGCCATCTAAGAATTATTCTCTGCACATACAGACAAGTGGTAGGTCAGTTGCAAGAGACAAGACAGGTAAGTGCAAGGACTACCTTGGCTTGGAAGCCTTGTATACAGCAGGAGCCACTGTCCATAGACAATGCTTGTAGGTCGCTGCAAGAGATGTGCCTCTTACAAGAGTCACTGCATTAAGAAAAACAAACCTGAAGCTCAATTCCAGAAAAATAAATGACCCAATCAAAAAATGGGCCAAAGAACTAAACAGACATTTCTCCAAAGAAGACATACAGATGGCTAACAAACACATGAAAAGATGCTCAACATCACTCATTATCAGAGAAATGCAAATCAAAACCACAATGAGGTACCATTATACGCCAGTCAGGATGGCTGCTATCCAAAAGTCTACAAGCAATAAATGCTGGAGAGGGTGTGGAGAAAAGGGAACCCTCTTACACTGTTGGTGGGAATGCAAATTAGTACAGCCACTATGGAAAACAGTGTGGAGATTTCTTAAAAAGCTGGAAATAGAACTGCCATATGACCCAGCAATCCCACTTCTGGGCATACACACCGAGGAAACCAGATCTGAAAGAGACACGTGCACCCCAATGTTCATCGCAGCACTGTTTATAATAGCCAGGACATGGAAGCAACCTAGATGCCCATCAGCAGACGAATGGATAAGGAAGCTGTGGTACATATACACCATGGAATATTACTCAGCCATTAAAAAGAATTCATTTGAATCAGTTCTAATGAGATGGATGAAACTGGAGCCCATTATACAGAGTGAAGTAAGCCAGAAAGATAAAGAACATTACAGCATACTAACACATATATATGGAATTTAGAAAGATGGTAATGATAACCCTATATGCAAAACAGAAAAAGAGACACAGATGTACAGAACAGACTTTTGGACTCTGTGGGAGAAGGCGAGGGTGGGATGTTTTGAGAGAACAGCATGTATATTACCTATAGTGAAACAGATCACCAGCCCAAGTGGAATGCATGAGACAAGTGCTCAGGCCTGGTGCACTGGGAAGACCCAGAGGAATCGGATGGAGAGGGAGGTGGGAAGGGGGGATTGGGATGGGGAATACATGTAACTCCATGGCTGATTCATGTCAGTGTTATGACAAAACCCAATGCAATGTTGTGAAGTAATTAGCCTCCAACTAATAAATGAAAAAAAAAAAAAACCTGTATCTTACCACCAGGTATTTATACTAGTGGAGGCATAAATTTACCAATTAGAGGTCATTTTTACCTTAAGCACTTTTGCCTAGTAATACATTCCACCATTTTTTTTCCTTAGGGACAGAGCTAGAAAGTCTTTGAGTTGCTGAGTCGTGTCTTAAGTCTTTGCGAGCGCATGGACTGCAGCATGCCAGGCTTCCCTGTCCATCACCAACTCCTGGAGCTTGCTCAAACTCATGTCCATTGAGTCAGTGATGCCATCCAACCATCTCATCTTCTGTCGTCCCCTTCTGCCCTCAGTCTTTCCCAGCATCAGGGTCTTTTCCAGTGAGTCAGCTCTTCACATCAGGTGACCAAAGTATTGGAGCTTTAGCATCAGTCCTTCCAGTGAATTCAGGGTTAATTTCCTTTCGGAATGCCTGGTTTGATCTCCTTGCAGTCCAAGGGACTCTCAAGAGTCTTCAACACCACAGGTCGAAAATATCCGTTGTTCGGTGCTCAGCCTTCTTAATGGTCCAATTCTCACATCCATACATGACTACTGGAAAAACCATAGTATTGACTAGACAGACCTTTGTTGACAAAGTGTAGTCTCTGCTTTTTAATATGCTGTCTAGGTTTGTCATAGCTTTTCTTCCAAAGAGCAAGTGTCTTAATTTCATGGCTGCAGTCACTGTCCACAGTGATTTTGGAGCCCAAGAAAATAAAGCCTGCTAGAAAGTTAGCTCAAATTTGTGCATAGAGTAGAAGGAGTTTTGTTAATCCTTTATCCACAAATATTTAAGAAGTGTGAGGTGAAGGAGGTAACATTTGAGCTGGACCTTGAAGAATGGCTAAACTTTGAAAACAGGAAAACAGGAGTAATGAGGTAGTAAAGTACTGGGAATATTTGAGGTAAAGCAAGTAAGCCATTGTGTCTGGAGTACAGAAACTTTTGGAGAGATGGTATATGGCATAAAGGCCAGGAAGGTTGGTATTGGAATTCTTTGAACTTGAAGCTACAGAGTTTATTTCAAAGGCTGTGGATAGTCTAAAGGTTTTTAAGGCATAACCTGTCAAATCTTTGCATCATGAGAATTAAATTCACTCTTCTGTGTAGACCAGATTAGAAAACCAGAGAATAAAATGTCTCAGAAGCCAAGTCAAGAGAATTTTTCAGTAAAATGAGGAATTAGTAAGAAGTCTTAGGATTTGGAGTTTAGAAAGTCTTTTCACTAGTTTAATATGAAGACAAAAACCAAATTTGCAGGTAAAAAGTAAGGGAAATTTTTTTTAAAAGTAAGGGAAATGGTAAAATATAAGCAGAGAAGGCAAAGTTCATTAGAAACTTGAAAAAGAGTGGCAATGTACAATGATCAGTTGGAAGGACACTTTTTAAAAGACAATTTGTTCTTGTATGTAAGTAAAGGAAATGTCTAGGATAATTGA